TTGTTAAATGACTAAAAAGGACATGCAATATTATTGATATAAAATTAGAATTATTAGGGGTAAAAACGAAAGAAAAAAATTGGCAGCTCCTTCCCAAAGACAAACGCTACTTGAGGTAGCTTTCCAAAAGCTACTTGCAAAAGACACAATCTCCAAAATAATCTCCTCCTATTTTTGGTCACCAAACAGCTCTACTAGCTTATTGACCAAGTTAATAAGACACAATTTCTTGTTGCCAAACAGTGCCAGTATTGATTTCGTCCATCTGGTAGTTCGAATGTGTTATTTGATTGGGAACAGGTATGTAGCTCTTGTTCATATTATTTTCATTTAAAATCTGATTTGAATTTCATTTTCAAATTTACTTGAATGTGAATTTAATAAAAAAATCTTTAGAATATTCACTAAATATTTAGAATGTAACTTATTAATATTCAAACAAATCATTTGATGGAAAAATAAGATTGTATATACGGGGGAAAAATACGTACATGGTGCAATATTTTGCTAAACGAGCTATGAAGTGATCAAGAACACCAGCCTGTTAGTCTCGTCAAAATATGTGAGCATCACCTTCTAGCTACTGTTCATAACTCACAATTAAAGTAGCTTTAGCATGTGCATATTCGAGACATGATATTGTAGAGGGAAAATTTGCAAAATAGACCGTTTTTATAAAGTAATTAGCGAAATAGACCACTTTTGAGAGTAATTAGCAAAATAGACTTCTTTTTGACAAAAGAGGTCGATTTTGAAAAAATGGCTTCAAAAAACATACGGGACTACTAGTCCCGTATGTTTAAAGCTAACTAATCTAATGATTAGTGCACTAATCATTAGATTAGTTAGCTTTAAACATACGGGACTAGTAGTCCCGTATGTTTTCTGAAGCCATTTTTTCAAAATCGACCTATTTTTGGCCTATTGGCCAAAAAGATGTCTATTTTGCTAATTACTTTTTAAAGTGGTCTATTTCGCTAATTACTTTATAAAAACGGTCTATTTTGCAAATTTTCCCTATTGTAGATGATTATTTATACGGCTAAATACCCATATTGGTATTTTAATTCCACCCCAAATTCTAACAATGTATTTTAAATAGGCAAACCCGCTTTAAGACATTTTAATTGATCCAACTAACAAATAATGCATGGTTTCTCGTCGGCGGGCAAATTTCCGGCGAGATCTCGTCACGTGCATGGCACATGATGTCTCAAAACTCGTTTTTAGTAGCGGTGACGGCAGCAATCTCGTCATATTCAGCCGATTCGATGGGGTTAGCGATCTCATGCGGCGTCATAACCGTTATTTTATCCTACTTTGGGATGAATATAACGAGATTGTTGCCGTCGCCGCTGTAAAAAATGAGTTTTGGGGTAATATAATGAGCAATACACAAAGGCGATATAAGATATGAAAACAAGAATAAGAACGCCAATGCAATCACAAACAAAATGATATGTTTACGAGGTTCGGTCCCCACGACCTACGTCCCCGCTCCTCACCTCGAGGAGATCTCCACTATCACAACCGGGTTTTCTACGTTCACCCGAACAACGTTTACACCTCACAATACAATCACTATGTAATCACACCTCACACACTAAGTGTTGGTCCTAGCCCGTGTCCTCCTCCTCAAGTGCTCGGTTACAACCTCTCCCTAGGCACGTCAACCGACGCCACTCCTCTTGGATTCGACCCCGTCTCTCACCACACACTTCTCTCGGTGTACAAGTGTATTACAAGTGAATCCTCACAATTAAGCACAATATAAATCAATTTGATTGTTCTCTAAACAAGGCGAGAACTCAATTAAGCACAACTCTAAGTCACTAATCTCACAACCCAAAATTATACTATGAATGTAAATACAATAAGCTCAATGGTTGTGTGTGTACAAAGAGATAAATAAAATAATTAAACTCAATATAGAAATCTAGCTTAGGAAATTAAGATCAAAACAATAAATAGCTAGAATTGAGTTTAAGGAAAACTTCTCTATAGATCAAGAGTGAGGGAGAAGAGTGATTGCTCAAACACCAAATGATGATCTCCGCTTGCTCTTGTGAAATTGTCTTCACAAACCAAAACACTCAAATGCTTAAAAGCTTCTTAAACCAAACTTAAACAAACACTAAACAAGTTTAAACCCTTGTTAAAAAAACTTCTTTAAAAACTTCTTGGATGACTTGAGAGTTGAAGACAATGGGGTATTTATACCCTCTCACAACTCAGCCAAGAAACCAGAGCAAAAGACAAAACAGCCCCAAGGCAACGGTCAAATGATAATAAACATGCTACAATGACTGGTTTCGAAAAAGGACTTCCCAAATGAAAAATATCATCATTTTACAAAATAGTCCAAAACACGAAAATGTAAACATGTGAATTTTGACATTTTGGCTAAACCAACTTTTGAAACTTTACAAAATAATTTTATAGACTTGAAGAAAGATGTAAACTATTGTTATGAAGTCTATAAACGATGAATGTAGTATTTTATCAAAATACACATATAATGCACTAAAACATGATTTCATTTAACTAACTAAAATTGATATTGATGAAATCATATATATGCATACGAGTATGAAACAAAAATATGTTTTCTAATTATATTCAATTGTTTCATAGTAAAACTTGAAAACTATCAAACCAAAACATATATGTATATATATAACTATATATATATAAAAACCAAAACGTGTATGTGTGTATATGATTGAGCTTAAAGTACTAACACACATAATATACATTCCTAAACTAAATTACCCAAGCAATCTTGATCTTCATTGTAGCTCAACTTGGTACACGTTGCGGATGAAGCTTGAACTTGATCTTTAACTTTGAATTGCAAGGCTTCAACCCGACATTCCGCCAACCTCCTTCGGATATGATCGTTGAAGCTCTATTCCATCCATCCTCCAACAACGTTGTTTGTCTACAAAACATAGGAATACACAAACACTAGACAAACAACATTAGTAGTAAATTATTTGTAAATCATCATCAAAACAAGAAGGCCAACAACGTGCCATGCACGTGACGAGATCTCGTCGGAAATTTACCCACCGACGAGAAAACATGCCTTATTGATTAGTTGGATCAATTAAAATGTCTTTAAGCGGGTTTGCCTATTTAAAATACTTTGTTGGAAATTGGGGTAGAATTAAAATACCAATATGTGTATTTAGCCTTATTTATACCGTAAGTCTGTAACAACCAATTTTAGACTTTTAGTAGTTCCTTGCGCAAGAACGATGATGTAGGAAAACAAATATTCATAGCTAAGCTGGGCGAGATCGAACTGAGCCTCATACGGCATACAACATCGTCGGCCTTTTCGAACGGTCCACAAATTAAACCCGTTCATAAAATTTTAACACGTGTACGTGAAAGCCAGAGTGAGAATTGGGACGGGGGGTTAGTGGGCCGTTGAACGGTACAATTCAAAGTTTTTCAAAAATCAAATGTAAATAGGCAAAAAAATAAAAAGAAAATAAAAAAGCAGAAATAATTAAAAGAAGAGAAGAATTTTTTTTTAAAAACCCCACTCCCCTAAATACTAGGAAGTGGAAATCGTGGGAGTAAGTGTTCAATGTCATAAGCATATCCCCATTTATTTCCTCAGACCAAACAGACAACGAGAAGTATATATGAATCACTTCATTAAACAATAGATTCTTCAAACAAATTAAGACAAATGCAAGGAGCAGCAAAAGTCAGTAGCAGAAGAGTTAATGATCAATGTGGTACTATAACGAGGAAAGGGCCATGGATGGCTGAAGAGGATGAGGTCCTTCTAGAATACGTGCGAAGGCACGGGCCGAGAGATTGGAGCTCCATTCGATCCAAGGGTTTACTGCCGAGAACCGGCAAGTCTTGCCGCCTCCGTTGGGTTAATAAACTTCAGCCCAACCTGAAAACGTACGCCAACTTGTGTAGTTAGATATCAATATTTTAGGCTTTGAATTGAAATTTTTAGTAGCGCTTCAAAATTTTGGAAATGGTCAAAATATTGATCGATTTATTTGTGCTTTCAATGCTAGAATAGCATAGGCTTGCACTGATTTACGTTGTTAGTTGTTGATTTGATATTGACATTGTGGACTTAGAAGTTTTCGGTAATATTTCAAGAGTTCTAACTAGTGATATTATGGATTTTAATGCTTGAAATGTTAAATTATCATTTAATGATTTAAACTTTTGCTACTACTTCCAAAGTTGAAAGTAGTGATAGTATTGATTTCTTAATGCTAGAATTTTTAGATAATTGCTTGTAATTTTGGTGTTTAGTGTTGGGTTTTTGATTATCGAGGTTTTTAAAGTATTAAGTATTTTCAGTATGATTTTAATCCATGGATTCATCTGTCTTTTCATTTCTCCGACGATGTGTAATTGTTAGTACCGTCGTGAGTCATCAGAAGTAGAAGATGAATTTACATAGTTAATTTATGATCACTTACCTTGTATCAAAATTGTACACTTTGATGCCACTGATTTCTTAGTTCATGAATTGTTAGATTCCAGTAGGTAATTTCTGTTGTTTTCTCTGTGTCCTGCTTTGTACGCTCTTGGTTGCATTTCATTTCATAGTTTTCGTGTTTCTTGTAATCAAATTAATTTTGTACTTGGATTACTGACTATTTGTCGATATCATTACAATCCATGAATATTGTGTATATTTTTCATCGGTAGAATACAATTGTTACTGCGAAACTATGTAACTTATCTTCTGCGTCAATAATTTTTTCGTTTTTCGATTTTCCTCGTTTACGAATAATCCATGTGGATAAATTCCTTGTATGAAGTGGGTGCAAGTTCTCCCCAGAGGAAGAGAGGATAGTGATCGAACTCCAAGCAAGATTCGGCAACAAATGGGCGAGGATTGCAACATACTTACCCGGGAGAACTGATAATGACGTGAAGAACTTTTGGAGCACAAGGCAAAAGAGACTCGCTAGGATGCTGCAGATACCTCTGCCTTCAAAATCTAACAAGAATCAAAGCAAAATGCCCCTGACCAATGACCCACCAACGTTTGAGGTAGGTGTATATATATTAGTCGCAACATCTTTGCTCTTTCAGTTACCTTGACGTATCGTTAACGGACTAGCGGTAGACTCAGAGAATTCGATTAGAAGCTGCTAAAAAGGATATGATAGTGATTAACTAATGGAGGAGATAACCCTCAACAGAACTGAGGGGAAGACTAACGTTTTTTGTTGCTCTCATATAAATTTTTTTCCAAAAAGGATGTAGCTAAGCATTGTGTTCCACATTAATAACATCTCCCAGCATACCGGTTGTTGGAGATGCTAATAGGTACATAAATAACTCTTTATTTGATCGGTAGTTATATGAATAAGGAAATATTTTAGTTATCCACATCAAGGTTCATACTTCCTTCGTTAATTTGCCTTCTTTTATAATCACACACAATAATGACATGTAGAGATCAATTATTAGCATACTCAATCAAATATTTAAAAAATCCC